ACCTATAAAAAAATAAAATTATTTAATTTAATTGATATATTGAGATTAATGATGCTTATTTTTTATTCTTTTTTATTTTCGTGGATTCAACTTTTCGTATTATATTTTCAAAATGAAGGTAAGAGACAACTTCAATCGATGACTTACGATATTGAGTTGTTTCTTTGGTGATCTTAAGACCTCCTCAAAAAAGTCACTTTTCATCAGAATGATCGAAATTAAGACAAATGCAGGGGAAGATAGCTCTCTCTCATAAACGACAAAAATTTTTGAAGATTTCCGTCATCCACTACAAGAAAAGTAAGCTATTTGCGAAAAAAACTCCGAAAATCTTTTTCATTTTTTCTCGTTTAATAGGTTTTCGATCGGATCAGCAAGAATTCTTAAAGGAGCTTCATTGTAGCCAATAGGTTTTTCTTTCTGTTTGAAAGAGCATGTAAAACTGCAGTGCCTATGAGAGCCCATTTTTTGATTAAAGCAAACATTTATATAATTAGAGCGTTTTTTCTTTGAGTCATTGAACTTTCGATCTCTGTTTTTCCCTTAAAAAGTAAGAGTTTTAAAAAAAAAGGCTCTCATAGGCACTCCATTCTGACATACTCTTTTAAACAAAAAAAAAAAACTTAAATGTATAGACTGAAAATCACAGAGAATTTTTGGAGATGAAATGAGCTATTTTTTTATCCTCGATTGGTCAATATCTCCCTCAAACGTCATGGTATAAGGCTCAAAAATTTCATACCATTCGAACGTTTCTGTCCTGAGATTGATTTTTGAGGGACCCTAAGAAGCATACAAAAATCTTTTTGAGATACGATTTTGGCTATAAAATGTAGCTAGAACAATTCAAATACAACATGTTTAACAATATAGATAATCTAGTTACAATTTACGTGATAAGTTCGATTAATCTTTCACATTTGTTCTCTAGAGATTTACGATTTCAAAAAACAAAACAACTTAATATTGAGTAGAATTAGGGATCATCTATGCTATAGTCTAGACATGTATGTACAGAATAACAGTGCATGTATAATAAAACTATGATGGTCTTAAGTTCATTGTAATGTTTTCTATCGGAAGAGATCTTTATCAAGAAAATAGCTGAATTTTATATGACTAAAAAGCTTATCTCGAATTCGAGAATTTCGACAAATCTCATTTAGATTCGGATTTCTGGACCTTCGGAAACCTATTGCTTATTTTTATAAAATTCAGTTAGTCTCTTCGATCACCATAGTTTTATCGTACGTTCACCGTTATCACTGTCTTATATGTTTTATAATTTCGTTCAAAAACAAACAAAAAAAAAAATCACATTATATTATCGTATCAATAAATAACAAAATCAATATTATTATCGTTTACTAATTCTTGCTAATAAACCATATTTTGGTCTCATTGTAATTCGAATTTCAGGAATTATTTTTTGTCCAGATTCTAATTCAAAATGACATCGTTGTACAAACATTGCTAACATAACTTTAGCTTCTAATAATGCAAAATTTTGACCAATACAATTTCGTGGTCCAGCAGCAAATGGTAAATAACAAAATGGATGAGTTAATTTTGGTTTTAAACCAGTTATTGGATCACGTATCCAACGTGTATAATCAAATTCATTTGGTCGTGACCAATATTCAGATCGACGATGAACTGCATATGTATTAATAAGAATTGTAGTTCCAACTGGAATACGTAATGGATGATCAGTTGTACATCCAATTATTTGTTCATTAATACATTGTCGAATAAAAAATGGTGCTGGAGGATATAAACGAAGTGTTTCTTGCAGAACAGCTTCAATAATTTGTAAATCATTAAGATGTTCATAAGTTGGAATCATTCCATTTGGTAATATTCGATCAATTTCATTTTGACAAGCTTGATATACTGAAGGATTTATCATTAATTCATACATAGCCCATGACATTAAATTACTTGTTGTTTCATGACCAGCTAATACAAATGTTAATGCTTGATCTTTTATTTCTTGATCTGTAAATGATTGTCCTTGAGTATCAACAGCAGAAAGTAATAAATCAAGAATATCTGCACCTGTACATAGACTTTGTGATCGTCCTTGTCTTCTATCAGTTATAATTTGATCAACAAAATTATTTAGTTCTCGAGTACCTTGATCAACAATATTTTTTTGCCAAAAAGGTAATTGTGATATAATAGGAAATAATAGAATCATTCGTGAAGCACGATAAACAATAGCTGCTAATACTTCAGTAAATGCATGTGCAATAATATCTCTTGCATTTGAAATTGTTTCAAAATTTCTACCAAATGCACATGAAGCAATTATAGATAATGTTAATTTATTAAATATTGTTGTTAAATTAATTGTTGATGTTGATGATGATGATTCAAGAAGTGTATCAATTGCTTTTGTTGTTTGATATGTCATAATAGAAATCATTGATTGAAGATTAATAAAATGAAATGCTGGATTAAGCATTTTTCTTGCTCGTTCATGTTCTATTCCATTACTAACTAATAAATTATGAATACCAATAAGTGGTTTAAGACGAATACTAAGATCAGCTGGTTTAATATAATTTTGAGCCGATGTTCTATTAAGAATATCAGCTATTAAATTAGGTTCTTGTATAACAAGACGCGTATATGGACCAAGAAAAAATAAATAGATTAATCCATGTTTTTCAGTTAATTTTTGATGATATTCTAATAATCGACCTTCTTCACGATAACGACGTAATTCTGGTAATTGACCAATAATAGGTATAAAAGGTTCACTTTGTACACCTTGACTTCGAAGTATATCATAAATACGTTTTGTTGGACGAATAAATTTTCCATATATACATATAAGAGAAAAGAGAATTAAAAGAAAAAATATATATAGAAATAATTGTAATATCATCGTATTTAGAAAATATAAGACGTCAATTCTTTGAAGAAGGCTTTTTTTTTAAATATATCAGTTGTTTTATACTTGATAAGTCAGTATCGAATGAGAAGAATGCATCATTATTTTATTATTAAAAACTTTGATAGTAGCGCCTCTAGATTTGTATTTTTTGTCGTATTGTTCTTGCAACTGATCGTACGACAATTGTATTTTCGAGAGTTACTTCCTTAGAATTGATCTCCTTGTTGTTGTTCCGTGTCCAAAAAGACAAGAGTTTGATTTTTTTTTATTTCAAATCAATGGAAATAAAACTTCAATACGTAACGAACAATAAATAACATTGTCGAGAACTGATATGAACTACTAGAAAGACATTTTGTGTTCGACTAGAACAGAGGAATGTTATTCCAAGTTAAACTATTGATATTAGATCTTTCTTCTAAGAATTAGACCAAGAAGTGTATGGACTGAATAGTAACTTGTCTTTGATATCCGATGTTTATAATGTAATTCAAAATAGTGATTGATATCAGAGACTAAAATGCATAAGAAAATCTTCATTTGGAATTGATTCGACTCACATTGTTACACAAAAATACTTGGTCTGTACAACCAATTGAAACCAAAATCCAGAACTCACATGTATTCTTTAGCTTCACTATATTATTACAGAAAATGTAAAATGAAAAATCTCTAGCAACTATTATCCAATTCAAAATAAAAGACGGGTCATCATTTTCTGAATAACTTTTGATAGGAACGAGATAGAGCGCTGCAGTTTTCACTATTCGAGAGAGTGATGTTCACGGTATAGAACTCATGAAGATGAAAGGCACCTTTTTTATAGGTATCTTTGAAATAACACTTTTTCCTTTGAATATTTGTACAATAATCTCAACTCAAATTATATCAAAATGTACCTCAAATCATCAAATATCTCACTATCTCTCAATCTCTTATTCTAAGTAGATTTAAAAACAAATGTTAATTTTATAGTGGAAAAAAGGGTGATTTTAGCTACATTTTGATGTAATTTAAGTTGAGGTTATTGTAAAAATACTCACAGGAAATAGTGTTGATCCAAAGGTGCCTATAAAAAAACCATCTTTCGTCTTAATGAGTTCTATACTGATCGATGGCTCGGACATTGTTCCTTCGAATAGTGAAAATCGCAGCTCTCAATCTCATTCCTATCAAAAGTTATTCGAAAAATGGTAATCTGCCTTTTATTTTGAATCGGATAATAATACTGCTGAATGCCTTTTTTCGTTGCTAAGAGGAACTCTGGAAAAGGAGTCTATCGTCCAACCCTAATTTAAAGGTTACATTCACTAGAGTTTTTCTTGGAAAAACATAACGTGAGCTCCACAAAAGGTTATTCTTATTTTCGCACATATTACCTACAACTTCTAATGTTCTTTTCTGATCAAGCTACTTATTTCTTTATTTCCCTGTTCTAGTCATCTTTTCTATATTTGTTCTATTCAGACGTATTCAAACATTACTTATTGATTTAAAACAGAAAGTAGATTTTATACAATAAGATTACTCGTCAAAGCTCGATATTATTGGATCCAAGAACAATAATATATTTGTAGGTTAAAAAATTGGAGTTTCGTGTACTGAGTGGATCTATGAAATTGGAAAAATAAAAACTTGGTTTTTCGAATATACCTATATCGTTAAAAATTAAAATATCTTTTTATTATTAAATTTTTCATACCAAAAGATTGTTATGAGTTTGTAAATAAACAACATATTAAACCTATCAGAGAATATTTCAACTATAGTATATACGTCTGCATCATTCAATTATACATTTTTGCAACTAACAATTCTAATTACAACTGTTAAATTGCTAGGTTTTTACCATTTAAATCAATGACTTTGTTTTCTGTTTAAAATTTTCGTAAACTTAGATATATATTATACTTAGATTAATTATTAGTTCATGTTTTTGTATTCCTAAAAAAAAATTTTTCTGACGTTTCTCTCATATAATTCATCTCTTTTTTTGATCATTAGAACTGCAAGAGAAGGAAAAAAAAAGTAGTTTTATTCTGTAGATGTTGTGTTTCTTGAAAAAATGATACGATTAATTCTATTCAGTATATTCTTTATGATATTAACAACTAAAGGACAATTTGATGCAGGTAAATAATTCAATTTATCAAAAATTTTATCATTAGAAAATATTTCTTTTATAGTTTATCAATTTTATGGTCAATCTTCAGGTCGTATACGACCGTTAACTCTCAATATCAATCCATTAAAATCATAAGTTGATTCAACAAAAGAACTACATAAATTATCACGTTCACTTGAAAAATCTCCAACATTTATTCAATCTCGTCGTTATCATTTCGATCAATTAACACGTGATATTTATGATCTTGATCATCCATTATCATTTATAGCTCCAATATCTTCTTCATATTATTATTCTTATAGTGGTCTAGGTACACAATTATCTATTTCAAGTCAAGAAGCTTGTCGTTTAACAAATAACTTTTGTTTATCTGATTATCAATGTTGTTCAGAAAAATGTCGATGTATTAAATGGTCTATTGTAGGAAAAATGTCATGTTGGAAAAAATGTTTTTAATTATTCAATTATATATTATTTGTAAAAAACAAAAAAAAATGAAATATTTATTTTTAATTTTTCATTCCAGTTACTGGAGCTTTTGGTAAACCAACTATAGTACCATTCTAATAGAAATATGAAAAAATAAATATAAAACAAAAAGAAAATGATGAGAAATACTAACTTTTGTTGTTACACCTGTTTTATTTCTAGTATCAATAGGTTGAACAGGAACACTAGGTACATGCAAATCAGTATATCTTGCATTTGATTGAATGCCAGATTCTTCTGTAGCAAGATCAGCTAATTCTATAAAGAGATTCAAATTTTATTTAAAAAAAAAAAGAGATTGTTTTTTTTTCTTTTAATACCATTTTCAAGATCAGCATCCGTTATATATGTATCTTGGCCAAGAGTTCGACTAAACGTATCATTCATTTCATCTTGATCAAGAAGTTGATCATCAAGATCATCCATAAGGGTCTAAAAAAATCCAGCGAGAAATTATTTCGAATGAAACTTTCAAGGTAGATAGATAGATTTCGATGAGTAGAATAAAAGTTGTCATAGACTCTAAATTCCCAAATGTTTCCTTTCGGGAGATCTTGACAGACCAAGGGCCAAGAATGGCCTGAAGTTTCTCTTTCCCTTCGCATACATCCATATTATGTTATTTAGAGACTGAAATTTTTTCTATGTCAACTAAGAACAAATCTGGGTGGGTGTTTTTTTTTCCTTTGAAAAATATTGTTCATGAGGCTCAGGAGAAGCAAAATAATGGAAGCACTATCAAAAAAACCTTTCTTGTTTTCGAATGGTGCTAATTTTGGCTCGAGAAAGGGGAGGATTTTTGAGATTCTATCTACTTTTATAACAGTTCCATGAAAGGCTTTAATTCCGTGGCTGATTCTGTCAAGTCTATGAACGGGAAGAGTCCAGATCTCCATCTGTATACTTTAAGACTTCTTTAAAATTGTGTTTCACAATAATAAATAAATTTCAGAATCTCATGATCGAGAATTCAGTATAAAATACATTAGATATTGAATGATAATGTACTTTCTTTATGATGTAATAGAATATAAAGTGAGGTATTCGTAAAAATTCATTTGTCTTATACAAATTTTAACACTACTTAACTAAATCCAAAAAATAAACAAGTTAACATTTTTTTGATTCGAACTAGTTTAAAACTTGGAAGATAATAGAAAAAAGATATACGTAGTTAATCGATGTTATGATCATAGTTTTCGTTTGAGAATTGAAAAAAACTTTAACGATTAGAGTTAATCAAAATATTATTTTTATACGTTTTTTTGGATTAATCATATAGATACTATAATAAAAGCGAATAGATGAAAAAAAAATTAGAGGTTTCAAAAGTTAAGCCACGGAAAAAAATATGCCAAGCATTTTTTCTTCTTTTCCGTATAGACGTTTGAAATTCAATCTTTTCATTTTATATGCAAATGAAATCAAGCTATGTGAAACTCCGCCAAACCAAAAAAGATCTATCTTCTGTATAGATCGCATCGTTCGATCTTTAGAGAACTCGTAGGAAGAGTCATAATATCAGGCAAGTGTTAATTTACATAGTTATAAAGACACTATACAGCATTTATCACAATACAAAAAGACGCGAGTCCCGTTCTGTAATCAAAAATGACTGTGAAACTTATAGTTTGCCTTTATTTAAATTTTCAAAACCTTATGAAAATCAGTTTAATGTTTTGATTATATTTATCATACACATAATCAGTTAAAAACTACAGTAAATATAACAAAAATCATATTAACTACTTCTGAGATCGGAGTGTTAATAGAATGTATTGAATAGATTAGAAGGAATATATTAATTGCTTGAAAACTTACTTCAACTTTTTCAATTTTTAAATCTTTATAACCTTTGGCTAATTGGTTTTTTGCATCTTTTAAACCATGATACTAAAATAATATTATCGTAAATTATATAAATGAAGATTAAAACTTTTTTTTCTACCATTTCCTTGTGTATTGCAATATTACTAATACCAAAAGTAGTAGCGGCAATATTAGCACTTTGACCTTCTATTGTCATACGTTGTCTTTCATACCTAAAATAATTTATTTATAAAAACAAATTAAACGATTTAAATTATTTACATTTTCTTTTTATTTAGAAGAGCCATTGCTCGAGATTTTTGACTTGCCTATATATTTTACAAAAAAAACTATTAATTTGTATTAAAAAAAATTTAAATTTTACTTTTCTAGCTGGGGGTAATTTATTATAAGCTTGTAATTCTAAAACAAAAAAAAAAGAAGTGAAAATTTTCATAAGACAAAATTATTTTCATAAGTTCACCATGATCAATTATAGCTATTTGTTTATTGATTGTTTCAACACGTAAATCAAGTGTTGCTGCTGTATCATTTAATGTTGGTTTAGGTATAGTATTGGATTTTGACCAACCGAAAAGTCGACTCATCTTGCTGATTATTAAATAATGAAAACTTACAAAAAGGTTAGTGGCAAAGAAGTATAATTTGCTTATATATTGAATGACAAGGTGAAAAAAAACAGAAGAAAAATAATATATATATATGCTTTTTTATATGCAAAAAATGATTCATAAAAAAATTTTTTTTTTCTTTTTATCAATGAGTAAAAGTAAAGGAATGACGACTCTGACTAATTCAAAAATACCTTGAGTACGTAGAACGAATTATTTACAGTGAAGCAGTTTCCTTTAGTTTGCAACTTGAGTTTTGATATGCAGTCACATTGATACTCTTTGATACTAGAAGGTTGCGTGTAACAACGTCGCTAGTGATTTACCGTTCAGTTTATCTGCCTGATTTTTTTTAATATTTATCTGAGTAAACATCTTTAAACTCTTTAAAAAAATGGTAGACTTCACTCGAAGTCGTATTTTCTGATTACTGTCAGCGTGCTCAAGCCATTTGTACAAGCCACATTGGTTACTGTCGCTTAGACTTCCAGGTTGATTATTTATTAAAAATGGTGTCACAAAAATAATCATTAGATAGAGAAGGCTTAACCTATAGGGAAAAGTTTGGGCCCATATGATTTAGTGTACTGTGGTATATATTTAAATCCGATTTCTTGAGTAGCAATAGACTTCTGCAAAGCAGACAAGGTAAATGTGGATGTAGTGTAGAGCTTATTGGGTTCGACCCGAACACGGGCTCGGATCCGATCGAGTCCGGATTCGGTTCCAGATCCAAAAATTTTTGAACCCGATGAGTTCTGGTGTAGGGGTGAGTATGTGGTAGAGTATCTTCTCTGGATTCACACTCAAACTCATCCACTAACACCGTCGCATCAACGCACCGATACTCACACTCTGATGACAAGTATTGACCAAGTTTCTACGGATGCATATTTACCGGAGTCGTCATTCAGACATTGTTTTTCCCTCGTTAAAAACATGCTCAGTTGAAATAAGTATGCGAAAAGTTCTTGTTTGATTTTTTGCTGTTCCACAAGCTATTATGTTATTTTTCTAGCGCTAAATACAGTCCCGTATGTCTACTATATTATCACCAAAATCTATGACATTTAGTCAAGATCTGAGTAAAGCAAGCCCTAAGATAGTCAATCCATGTTGTACCATTAACTCGAGTTTCGTTTAGTGTCATGACTCTGAAGCTTTCAGCATAGATTCGTCACTTAATGAAAAATTTCTGCTGAAACTTTCAAATGAATTGATCAAATTCATCATGGAAAAGATTTATCGTACTGAAAACCAGCGTTTGCTCTTCAACAGACGTTCTTCATGAAAGGACAATATCTCTATCCTTTTAAAGAGATTTTTAACTAAAATCAGACCAGAAATTGTTGTGCCATTAGACTTTCGAATGAAAAATTGAGTGAAAATATTTTTGTCAACATGATCACAATAATTTGATAACAAGATGAAGATGATGTGTGAAGCATAATTTCAGTATATTCGAATCGATGGAAAGTGGATTGATGCTTGCAATTAGGGTTAATTTCTCCACGTATATTTCCAAAACATCAGCCCAATATCATAAGAGAATAGTATCATTTCCGAAGAAAGTAGCTATTCTTTTTCAGGGCTGTACGTACACGTGAAACTTCATATCAGATTCGGATGTTAAGATAAGATTTAAATTATACATAATAGAAGAATATCCTAAAAATTAAATAAAATGATAAGTCGACACGAAAGAAAGAACTCAGGTATTGAATTAAAAGATGATTTTAATAATTGCATGATAATATTATTATGTTTGTTTTATATGTCCCATGTTTTCTTGACACACAAAATAAATTAAAAATTTAAAAATATCGTGTTCATATTAACTGAACTAAAAGGATAAAAAGATACTATGTGTATTAAAATGTGAAAACTTTTCGTTTGCATAAACAATATTTTTCGCGTGCAATTATACAAATAGATGCGTAATAACAGCAAACTCGTATTAAAAATGCTGTCAAATTTTGTTTGACAAGTTTTAAAAAAATTCTCTATTTGAACGAATTAATATTGTGGCATTTTGAAGAATTCTTAAGAATCATTATCGATTTATTTATTTGATCATAATCAGATATGTAAGTTGTTTAGTTAAGCGCCGCCAGCGAAACTTGGCATTACTATAGTCACTGACATTGAAAGAAAACTACAGTAATACATAATTCAACCCCTGCCATTGTATTTTACGTCAGCCTACACTTCTAATTATAATTTTTTGTGGAACTCACATATATTTTCGAAGAAAATAGTGAGTGTAAGTTTTAAGTTCGAGGTTTGGCGGCTCCCCCCCCCCCATTACAGACCATAGCAACGAAGAAAGAGAACATTACAGACAACTCCATTACAGATAATCCACCATTACAGACCGTAGCAACGCAGCTCGCGTCATTACAGAGTTGAGCAAGTAAACTAAAAGTCATCTAAATATAAATTATTAGATATTTTCTTTGTTTCCAGTAACTACTTTCGCTCATTCAAATAAATGCTTGCGAAGAAAACTACGATATTGATCATAAAATACAAAATGATCTAGCTCAAGAACTGTGCAACGCTTTAAAAGCAGAAGACAAGCAAAAGATTCCTGTTAAAAATAAAACAAAAATAGGTGGAAAACGAGTCGCTATATAACTGTCTTTCACCCTTCTCTATCAGTACATAAACAGTTTTTTTCTTTTATTCATTGTTCTTACAAAAATGTTGACTTTTTTTCGATCTATCGCTATTGTAATTACTAGCACCTTTCTAGATGTCTCGTAGTAAGTTCAACTAATTATTTTCATGCATTTTCCCTATAAATAACAACAAAAAACGTTTCAAAATTTTCTTATTATAGAGCTGTCAAAATGAAAATTTTGAACTCTTCTACTATATTTAAAAATTTTATTAGTTTAATGCAATCTAACTTTTTTCTTAAACTAACCTATGAAACTTTACCTCACTTTTTGGAATCGTACGAAAATATATTTTAAACACTTTCTCACTCTATGCATCATTTACAACATTAACAGTATAAACAGACATATCATATAAATATTTCATGACATTTTTTTAGAATATTATATTTAAACAAACAACAACCTGAATATATTGAAAAGCATTGATCTAAAATTCCTAATATTTTCACTATAATACTAGTAACCATTAATAACGAAACAAACTTGTACTGAATAAATCCTCATTTGTTTTAATTTACGCTTACCATTTCCATATTTTCACATTTAATATATAAAAAAATTAAAGGCCCTCTATCGAATAAGGTATTGTCCCGAAATTCGGAAAAAAAATCCGGAAGAAAAAATTCGGAGGAAAAAATCCGGAAAAAAATCTGGAAAAAATCCGGAAAAAAAACTGGAAAAAAATCCGGAAAAGATAAAATCGGGAAAAATTCTGTAGAAAGATTCAACAGTTTATTTAACAAAGAAACATGTACAATAAAGAAGAGAAATCATTTGATATGACGAGAGGAATGTACTTCACTTTTTACTAGCCACCAATAAAGAGAGCCCCTCGAGATGTTCGGCGCAGTCGATCTCATCGTCCTCGAAACGTTTCGCAAGAGTGTTGATTTTAGCTTGTAAAGCCAAAGTCTTCTTCGTCTTCATTTTTTGCGCACCCGTTAACACCTTGAGCACTTGTTGCCGAAAATGCACTTCTTCGTTGTGCAGGCAAGTGACGAAGGCCCACATGTTTGGATGACACCTGTTCATTCGTTTGTTGATAAGAGGAACGACAGTGTATATATACGTGTGCGCTAATCTAACAATCGGCGGCGTGTTCAGCGCCACGACGCATCCATCTAGGTGTAATTATAGAAGTGCAGAGCAGAATGAAGAAGGATGGTACCCAGCGGACGATGATCATAATGGACGAAGACAATAGGAAGGGTTTATGAAAGACTACTATGCTTTCTCCTTCGTTATAAGGATATTGGAGTTTTTTCCGGATTTTTTCTTTTCCGGGTTTTTTATTTTCCGGATTTTTGGTTTTCCGGATTTTTGTTTTCCGAATTTTTTGTTTTCCGGATTTTTATCTTCCGGATTACAAGACATATTCTCGAATAACTACTTAAATCGTAGAGAATATGTGAGTTCCACATTTTAGCCCCAAAGGGGCTGCGCTAACAAGCTTTTTTAAAACATTTTTCTTTGACTACTATGCAAAACTATTTATTTTTATTAATACCAATAATTCATGTCACATAACTGCGTAGTTTAAGCATGTTTATTTCTCATTATGTTAAAATACACGATTAATCGAAGTTATTTATCATGAAACAAAAAAAAACACTTTTTTGATCATTGTCAAAATAAACTATATTTCTAAGTATGAAAAAATTCATATGTTAATCGGGCGATGGAATGAAACTAAATGTCCCGCCAAAAGTAAATAAGAAAAAGTACGATTTAGTTTGTTTTCATCGCTTACGATAGTTTTTATACATTTTTTTTGTTCCTTTCTTTATGTTTTTGTTTTTCATGATGAAAACAAATATAAGTTCATTTAAGTTTACCGTTTCATTTTGAAATTTTTTATGTACTTCTGATTAACGGCAACAAAATTGTTTATTCTCTTTGATACTTCAATCACATAGTTAGTAAAAAGAAACTAAGAAGAATTAGTTTCTTTTTTTTCGTTTTAACGTGATTAGATGAAAAAATAGTCATGCAACGAACAGCAAGAGTTGGACCAAGAAATATTCAATTTATAGATAATATTCAAATAAAAGAAATTCCAACAAATGATTATGAAGTCGATGAATCAACTAGACGATTATCATGGGATCCAAATTTAAATAATGTAAGATGCTTGGTTTTTTTTTGGATCAACTTATTTGTTATATTTTTATTAGAAAGATGTATTCAAAACGACAGAAACACAACAACGAAATATTATTATTGGATTTGTTGTCGGTGGTCTTGTGCTTGCTTCTATTATTATTGGAACTGTTGTAGGAGTGACATTGAGTCAAAAAAGTAAATGTTCTCTTTATTTTAGAACAAAAAATTCTTTAATTTAACTTTTTTTTTTTTTACTTATAGCAACAGTTGCAGCTGATGAATCTCTTACATACAATGAAGTATGTAAAATAGGTTCAAATCAATGTAAATCTTCACAAGGTCTTTATTGTCCAAATGGATTTTGTTCTTGTACATCACTTTATTCATGGAATACAGCAACTAGCACTTGTAAGTATTGATCTCAAATGAGATAAAGAAATCTGATAAGTTTAGCGTTATTTCAGGCACATTATTGACATATAATCGTGCCTGTTTGGCATCAAATCAATGTAATTCATCATTAGGACTTATTTGTACAAATCAAATTTGTCAATGTGATAGTTATCATTCATGGAGTTCATCAAATAATACATGTAAATTTGAATTCGAAATAAAAAAAAGAAAAAGAAATCAAATACTTCATATTTAAAATAGGTGTAATTATTGTAAATAATACTTTAACTTATGGTAATACATGTGCTGTTGGATCGAGTCAATGTAATTCATCAGTTGAACTTACTTGTACTAGTAATTGTACATGTAAGAATTCTAAAATATGGAATATATCAAGTTGTGTTTGTCCAGCTGGAACTTTTTTAAATTCATCAAATCTTTGTCGTAAGTTTTGATTTTCTTATTTTCATAAAAAACTTTACTATGATTTTAATTTCTATAGAAACAGCATACGTATAAAAATAATGAATCATGTTTAATTGGTTCAAATCAATGTGATTCAACAAGAGGTCTTTCTTGTTCTAATAATAGTCAATGTCAATGTGATTCAACAAAATATTGGAATCTAAATTTTGAAACATGTCGTATGATAAATTCTTTTATTTTATTTTTAGAAAAAAATTAAGCATCATGATTTATTTTTAATGTTTTATTTAGTACAACGTGTTAATTATTCAGATTTTTGTTCATCAGATAGTGATTGTATACCAACATTAATATGTCCAACAGTAGCAGGTGTTTGTAATTGTTCTCGATATTTACCAGATTATGTTTGCAATTGTCCAAATACAAAATATTACGATTCAAATATACAACAATGTGGTATGAAGATTTACTTAGAGAATTTGTTTTGTTGTATTATTTATTTATTTATTTGAAATAGTTAGTCGAGCTACATATAATGGTGCATGCATAGTATCAGCGAATTATACATGTCTTTTAACACTTTATTGTAATGCGGGACTATGTGCTTGTCCGACGGGTACGAGTTGGATTGCGGCAAATTCAACTTGTGAATAGTTGTTTTTTCTTTGTTTTAATTAATGATTATAATATTTGTTTTTCTTTGATGATATGCACATTTTTTAACTGTTAAGCGGATATTATTTATGATTTATATAATATAATTGGCACAAATAATACTTTCATCTGATAGACGTACGAATTATTCAGTAAACGGAATTCAGAACTTCACGATAAATCAATAGTAAATACGAAATAAGAATATAGAATGAGTTCGAGCATTGTGTGGGCTATGTATTATAGGAATAAATTTATTATATTTAGTTGAGGAAGTGAATAAAGAAAAAAAAGCAAGGAATATTTTTTAGCACGATTTCGTTCCTAATTGATTCGATCCGGCTTGACTTTTTTTCGGCATAGATCCGATCAATTCCTGTCAAATTCGTTAAATGAATATTATCGAATCTTCCTCTAGACATCTCACATGGAAGAAATCAGCAGATACTGGATCTCACAAATACTTTAGTCGAATTTTAACGACTTTTGACAACAGGATTCTGAATCCGATGACGACGGAAAATATCTGCTCAGATACTTTCGAATCTGATGATAAGATTGTATCAAATGGAACTGAATACAATGTTTGGAAATATTTGGAATGTACCGAATTCTGCAGAAGTCTGGTTCAATTTCACCGAATTTCGATATTACTTCTTTTCTCAATAAAACACAGTGAAGAAGATTTGGAGTAATCGTGATAAAATAAGTAGCACAAAAAGATAAAGATTGACTGCATAGCAGCCACACAGAGTAATTACAATTAACGCTTTTTAAATAATTGTTCTATTGTTTCTGCAATAGGTAACACAATATCTGCAAATAGGTGAATATTAAAATATTCCAGCTTTCGTTTTCTTTATTTTTTTAAAAGGGAAAGTGAAAGTACCACATAGTCATAGCACATGTTTCATTTCGGAAACAAGAAGTATGAATATTTTTATGTTCGAGTTTTCGATATATAGTAAACTGAAGAAAATGAAGAGATTAATTACAGTTGTGCTCAGGAAAAATAAGGATTGTCCAAAACTCTTCTTTTTTTATTTGTCAACAGCCAACTCGGAATAATTTTTCTCTTCATGACGCACATCAACATTTCATGACAAAGTTTGTAAAAAAAAAAAACAATTTGAAAAATTTTTCAAAGACCAAACATGTTTTTTTCATTAATGCAGTTGGAAAAAGTATACAACTTCCGTTAAAAGTTTGTGTACAAGATGATGGCAAACATGAGTATTTGCGTAAGCTGCATTCTCTTCGTCATTTTCATCATCAACAAGTTTTTTTTTGCAAAAGAAAAATATGCAAATAATTTCCTTTCAACTCGTCACAAGCGTAGATGTTTGCTGATTGACATAAACATAAGTGGAGAATGCTTTTACCGAGTTGCTTTGAGATCAGCTTTCTTGGTATTTCCAACAAAAATATACTTTGTCATGTTTTCTTGCTAGTCTTTGTTATAATTTTCTGTGTCACGTCATCGGTCTCTCTATTCTCGGTTTATTCTGTCTTTTTCTTTCATCTACATCTTCAATGGGTGTATTTTTTCTTGTGCACACCTTCTGTTTTCTTTCCTTCCAGTGATCTGCTTTCAATATGATGAAGCGTATGGCTGCAACTGTGGTAGGGCGTGAGTATACGTATGGTAATTTCTGTTTTCGCGGATTTCAATATCGCCGAATGAGGGCGGGTGTGAATGTTCACTTCACTTCCACCCGTGCTCACACCAAACTGAGATAATAACCAATCGATCTGGTAATGGGCCAGTCTATTAAAATAGAATGGCTATATATAGAACAGATCAGGTTTGGTCCAGACTCGTTTTCGGTTATGAATTCATTCGGCGATATTGGAATCGACGAAAGACATCGTCGGCAAGAAAAAAGTTCGACACAAATGGATTCATTCGTGCGTATGATTATGAATTTGATGAAGAGAAGACACACACCCACAGCCATACCCAGGCCCCGCGCGAGGGTCCCAGGTTTGGGGGGGGGGGGTGTAAGACTCCTGAGGTAGTCAAATTTGGAGATAACAAAATTTTTTTCCGCATCAGACCTAATATTCATCTTTCTCGTGCAACCTGAAATGCAAAAATTTTTCGCGGAGCGAAAACTTTTTTGCAACCTTCTCAGAAAACTCGACTTTCTCTGGCAAATCTTCAAGAAGACAACCAGCGTCTGATGTGAGAAAATTCCTCAATACTTCTACCGCCGAAGGCGGACACTCTAGCGACGATTGTTCTCGACTAAGCTGTTTCGAAGGAAAAATGGACTAAATTTAGAAGTTTTTCTACGTTAACCGCGATTACGCAACTGTTATTTTTCGCGAAGCGAAAACTTTTTTCACATCAGACTCATGAAAAACTCTTCTTTTCCTGATTGTTCTCAAAATCAAAAGGTATTGCTATAACTCTTAGCAATTTCACCGCCGAAGGCGGTCACGCTAGCGACGACTGTTCGCAAATAAAGCTGTTCAGAAGGTAGAAAGCGGTAAAGTATGCCATAAAAACAGGAAGATCAGAGTTATTTTCAAGGCGAGTATGCCCATGCGGCTACTTCTTTATAAAGCGAAAAATTTTAATATTTCAGAATTTTGTAGCAGAAACCATCGTTTAAGCCGAAATTTCGAGTCAAAAATCAGCTTATTTCTTCAACTTGCCATAGAACTTCATGTTTTCCGCCGATATCTCAACGATAGTTGCCGATTATTACTATATAAAGATCATTTCCTGACTCCCATTTCCACTCAGGACACCTCTGAAAGATGTTTCTGAAAATATCTCTGTGAGATACTTTATAGATTCAAAAAAATATTATCCATTTTGGTGGCTAATAATAAATAATTTTCAATTATTAGGGGGGTGTACACCTCCCTACACCCCCTCCCCCACTTTCGCGGGTCCTAGCCATACCTGTACCCATCCATACACCCATTCATATCTATATCCGTACTCGCGCATCAACATCCACATCCACACCCACACCACACTTACACCTACAAACCACAGTACATTAGCAAAGTCACACCTACAAACGCATCTACACCCTTCGCTTCTGGCTTTTATGCCAGTAGTTGCGCTTTCTGATAAGGACAAGGAATACTTTGAAGTTTTCAAACAAATAAGAAACAGACAGTACTATGGTATCAAACAATCTTCGTATTGATTCAGTTTTACCTTCTGCGAGCAGTTATTTGTGGCAAAAAATTCAATTTTTCTTTCATTATTACATTCTCTCTCTCATTTTGCGTTTTAACTCGATCGTTGCTTTCTGTGGTGGATAGAGCAATTTTATTGCAGAAAAGGAAAGAAATCACATAAATAGGTGAGAGGAACGCAGTACAGCTTTCATTTGTAGTTTGGTTTTTTTCTTCTGCAGGTGGGTAATGACGATAAAAACTCCTAATTTTTTCTTTCGTTGATATATTCGCTGCCTTTATGATTTTACGTCAGTAGTTGTTGTTTCTGATGGATACATAGAGGGTGTGGGGTGTAGGTGTGGGTGAGGGCGTGGATGTATTTTAAGAGGAGGTCAACACCCACATACCTACATCCACACCAACACATGCCACCCACACCCACACTCGCAACCACATCCCACACCCTGAATAACAGTTTGCCGCTTGTTTTTTTGAATGGAGTGTTGTTTTTGGATGCTCGAACGTAACTATTATATTCTTCTATACCTATAACATGCATGAATGATTTCGTCGCTATTTCTTCTCTTTCAACGATAAATTAAAAGGATAAATTATTATTAACGATCATCATTACTTATAATTGACAAGTTAGTATCGGTCATATGTAGAATCATTGAAACGGGGAAAAGTTGGAAAAAACCAATATGAGACTGTACGACGAAACATATTCAACTTGCTAAGAAAGTAGTAGATATGGGACCAAACAGCGACAAGAGAAAATTTGATAGTAAAAACCAAAATTGTTTTTGTTTATTGTGAACACGTCATTCAAATACTCTGCTGAAGACCGATTATTTAAATGTGAATAGAATTTTGGTGGTAAACTCATGGCATGAAGAACAAAAAGAATGGAAGGAAATGTGTGGAATTAAAAGATTGTCAATCTATTCATTTCTTGGATCTTTCACAGGGTATGGATATGGGTTATGGAGGTGTGGGTGGTGTGAGTATGGGTGTGGGTGTGGGTATCGGTATCGGAGTCTTCTTCACAATAACACCCACACGCACACCCTCATCCGCATCCACACACCCACTTCCACACTCCACACACCACACCCCGCACCCACACCCACCGACATCCACACCCATACGATCAGCGGCTGCTCGTCCATGTCTTACAATTTTCATCTACAACTACGCCAATAACAGGCCTAATTACTTCCAATATTTGTTTAAAAGATAATAATAGAAATGTATCTTTGATTTCGATGGAACTATTATGGATGTAAATAGAAAAGTTGATTGACTGGAATCACACTATGAGGATTCAATAGATGAAGATAAATATTAGAGTTCTCATTGTGATATCCACAATTAACACTCCAGGATTCATAAGCACATCAAGTTTTAACTCGTGAAAAAGGAATTGTTTTTTAAATGCATGCTTGATATACTATCTACAAAAGCGCCTACATCTTGATCAATTGATATCTTGAAGAAACTTTCTTCATACACTGCGAGAGTTTCTTTTGTTAGAATATCAAAAAAGTCACTAAGGTATCAAAGAAAACTTTACTTAAAATAATATGAGTAAACACTAGGTCAAAAATAAGAGAAAGTATAATCAAAAGATATATAAACTGCTATTGGAAAAACTAATCTTGCTGTATTGCCCACATGGTTGATGTTCGAATTTAGGCAGTGGAACTGTTGATGTGATCACTTGCATGCATAATCCGCTCCATATCAATCGTGAGCTAATTTAAAGAAGCCAAATGACCTCGAATTTGTTCGTTTTCGTCTTTCAACGAATCTATTTGTTCTTGTAATCTAAAGACAACTTCGTAATTGTATAGAATGAAAATGAGATCGGCAAACCTACGTTGAAAATGTGATTTTGTCTTTGAATCGATAATGCTCTTCGACAAAATGACGTGCATATTCATAAGTGGCAGCATTCTCAAATTCTGTCCAATTATTCTCCATTTTAGGATGACTACGCAGATACTCTAAATATACCGACATGAAATAAAAGTACACAGACGATTTGTTCATGATACTTACTAAATATTCGAAAGGTTGCACCGTGAAAGACGAATACATTTATCAACCATCCAATATAAGCCAACAATGAAAGAGGTGGGTAAGCAAAGAGGGGCTTTTGAAAATATTCACAAATTAATTTATATCGTTGATAACGCCAAAAAAATTCATTCTTTTCTTGAACATCATTGATCGAAAAGCTAAATATAATTGAAATAGTCAGATTGTTTTTTGTCATTATCAAAATACATACTTAAAAACGGCAATAAGTAGATTTAGAATCAAAATATTGATAATAAGCATATGAAAAATCAAGAGTATATAATTGACAACGGCTGCTGACACATCTTCCACTGTGGCCGCGTTTGAAAAGATACCTTCAAATAACACCCTATTATCTTAATCGAGGAAAGATTATATGATTTACCATCAAGAGTCTTTTTCTCATCGTCAACTATTGAATGTAAAAACCAGTAAGGTTGATAGAAGACCACCATCAATATACTCTTTACAGTAAAATCCAAAGTATTATAGAACGCTAGCGCACGTGATACTACACCATACGTGACGATACACACAAAAATAATATAAATGAAAGCCAACAAATCACGCACCTAACAGTATGAATTTGTTTCGATCGAATGATTAAAAATTGTTTTTACTCACCATATTTTGAATCATGAAGAGTTTTGGTCCTAAAAGTCTAATAGCACTAACAAATCGTAATGAGAAGAGAAACCAAAGTTCCAGATCAATAGCAAGAATAATTCTATGAAAAATCATATTCAAATAAAAAAAAAACAATAATTCAATCATTTTTATACCGAGCAACTTTAAATAAGCCAGGTCGATTAGTTGATTTAAAATGAAATATAATACCAATATAAAAAAGAATATAGATCATTGCACGAAAAGATGCTATCCATGAGCGTGACTTATCCTGTTTTTCTACCATTTGTGTATAAAGATCGGCGAGAAACTTAAATGAATGAATGTTAAGATGATTTTTAGAACGTCATGAACACGATGAGGGAAGTAGTTTTTTTAACGTACTTGACGAAAATCTTCGAGTAGCATTGCCGAAACAGTGATAATCAAATAGATTTTTGTCCAACAAAATAAATTTTCATCGCGTTTCATATTAAATAGAACCACATAACTGAACACTAATAGAAACCAGACATAGATAGCCTACATCAATATAAACATTTGTTCAATTACAAAGTAAATTGACATTTACAACTACTCACGAAATCATAGTTAATTTTGACAATAGGAGCTGAATGAAAATACAACAATTTTTGCCAGTAATTAGGAAACTCAACTATCTCATCTTCGATTCCTTTCCATCTAAATGATATTCACATGTGAATGATTGATCTCATTAGAGTAGAAGAAAATCCGCAAAATACCTTCGATAACGTTGATTAGTGACATCATTTTTCTCAGACTGCAATATCAATGTATAAGATATAATAGGATAAAGTATGGTTTATTGAGATATAGTCTTACATGATCTTGATTTGTTCCGTTATCAGTATCTGCTTCACGATATTTCATTAAGTACGGTGCAGCCAATCCTAGTGTTAACAGACTGACTAGGAAATTGACTGTTGAGTTTGACGGTTCAGTTATATTGCAAGCTAATTGATCAACCCATCCTTTAGTAAGAACTGTGTTAAAACAATCTGTGTTGATAAATGGAATATTACGAGATGCAATGGCTATCTAATATGAACATTTCAACTAGGAAATTATTCGAAAGAATCTATTAACATACTTGCATACAGGTTACATCTCCAAATAATAAATTTTCACGTACAAGAAGCTGACAAGCTAGTCGTTCATTATGTTTATAACAAGCTGTTACACAAGCGCTCGCATATTCTTCATAATCTTTTGTCTGTTGATCGAATGTGCGGCGTAAGTCCAAATTAATAGCAAACAATGAAAGACGCCGAGCGATACATGCTGCAATTAGTGCTGCACTAATTCGTGATTCTAGTTGCAATAAAGGGATAAAAGCAATATCAGAATATCCCGCATAGACACTCCATAAGAAAAGTTCACGCAACATTTCCTGCTTGCCAAACGATTTATCAATATGATATCGTCGGCACAACATCTCAGCATCGTCTTCTGTCCGTGATTTGTCATTCCTCTCATATGTATGAGTACGCTGAAACAATTGCTTAAACTTTAGTCGTAATTGATCGGATAGATTCTGTTGAAAATAGAATGATTTTGCGTATGAGCCAACTAGATCCATATAATATTTATCAAGCTCCTCTAATGTTTTCGGAATGTTCCAATACTACAAAGAGAACATATGAATACGATCATAGAGTGTCATAAAGAGAGTGAGACCGTACATTAGAAGATGCTTCAAGGGATTGATAGAGTTCATCAATAATAAGTTTGAAAGCACATGCAACACGCAACTTTTCTTTAGTAACTATGCTCGGTTCTGACAGCTTTTGCTTCGAGTCAACTATACTCGAATAGCTCCTGGATCTAACACCATTATTCTTCAAAGATTTCTTAGATCTAGAAGATCAAAATAGTAACAGTGTCATGAAATCAGTGCTGTTAAATACTCAATATATGTCGTTGTTGTAAGAGGATTATAATATCGTCGTAGAAAATAGTCAACAAATACTGGTCGATTTTCTTTCAATGCTTGTTGAAACAGACTAGGATAGAGTGTTTGATCGTCCTAATAAAATATATCTGATCTAAATCTTTGTTACAAGAACATTCAATTAACATACTTCTAAATGTTTAGGCATATTTTGTACTCTGTGTACATAATTCCAGCTAACAACTAATCTTAATAAATTTCTTTGTTGTACTGAATTGCTTTGAACTGAAAGAAAATCAATCCAGTCTGAATTTATGGGTAGAAATTCGAGAAAATAATTATACCTTTATCCATAGCTTTAATAATTGTATCAGTAAGACTTGTGTCACGCTCGAGTTTAAATATATTTAAATAATTACGATACTCCATCTTTAACACTTCTCTTATATTGGCAATGATGCTTTGCATAGTAACTTCGTCAAGTTCTCGCTCGCATTCAGGAAAAAATAATGCAATTTGCTGTTCCACGTCAGTGTTTCTAGAGAAAAACAAAGAAATTTCGTAGAAACATGATTTCTTTCATACTCAAGTGTATTTTTCTTGCTTGATACTTCAAGTAATGTACCAAGTACATTTGCTAACCGGCCACTACCATGAATGATAACAACTGGTCGTTTATTTTTTAAATCATTTTTAATGACTTCAAGTGTATTGAAACCACCTTCAATAATAATTGTTATCGAATGACAGTTCGTCTTAGAACACATTTTTTGGATGAAATCTGAACGAGGACGATCATCCAGATAAACATTCATACGACCATCGTCCAGCAGAAGAAAATGACTATGGTACTTATCAAGTGTATTGTATTCGTTCCAATTTAAACTTTCCAATGAATCTTCTTCATCCCATTGTATAAAATCCATGTTATATACATGTTCTGATGTCTAAGAAAAAAGGTATCCCAGCAGAATAAGGATATGAATCCAATATTTATCAATTCTACCTGATACTTGAGCACTTTTTGAGTATGTTCTGTTAACGTACCCCAACTAGTCATTCCAATAATAGTTGGTTCGGATAAGTTCTTGTTTAGTAAAGTAAAACGATGTACGCTTTGTCCAATCAGTTTCGATGCACCTTGATTCAGACCTGTCGTCAACAACCATACACCTATTCAATCAATAATTTTGAAGTCTTTTGTCAACTTTCGAAATAGAACCTACTTTTGGTGACAGCTGCTCGTGAAATTCCATTCATAAATTCCTTTTCTAGCTTGTCAGTCATAGCAAAATTTTTAGCCCCACCAAAGCAACTGATCAATAAGTCCGGTTGTGAATCCACGTCTTCGATGACCAAGTCGATCAATGTTTCAAATAAGTTCTGTAGACCCACGTAACATCGAATGAACTGTAATGAAAATCAGTGTCATATTATTCCTTCTCATACCATGTTGTTTATTTCACATACTCGAGCGCCACTGCCAAATATTCCAAGTTGTCCATAGACGGTCAGTGGTGTTTCTTCAGGAACACAAGTCATCTCATTAAATTCGGTTTCAGTGGCAAACTGCGTTTGAGCTTCGCCGTCGAAACTATGAGAACGTGTCAATCGACCACAACAACATTTTTTTGTCTCATCAATAGGACCTTTGGTGGATTTTGAGTAAATATGACATGTTATACCCACCAAGGAACCTTTTCGTACTTTTTCTTTAACAAGTTCTTCCCATATTCGCTTACCTTTGTCATTCATCCTCATCGGAATCTTCACATAAATATTAGTCTTTTTTATAAGATTCGATGTCATGACTGCAATTGGTAAAGAAAATTTTGATTTCATTGAATAATTCTATCAAACGTCATACCTTGCAATTTTTGGATGGATGGTTTGTTTTCTATCTGTTTGCACAATCAGTAACGACTTATTAAAAGTGAGCAGTTTTATATGTTAATTTTCATTCTTTGGAAAGTCGTAACAGAACGAGAAAGAAAATGTCGCGATATTGGTAAACATAGAGAGAGATGAGGCGAGCAATCAGGCAATAGAAAGAGAGTTAATTAGCGATGTAACGAACGCAAAACGTTTCTTACACATAATCATACAAATCAAATGTGACAGCAAAACGAAATCAACGACTAGCAAGCATAAAACGTCACATAGTATGAAATTGAATAGTAGAGTATTATAAATTTTTTTTTCCTTCTTTCGATATACTCGAAGACGTTACAGCCTATTTTCATGTGCAATCGACCGTAGAAACCATGATATAACAAATTTTGAAGACTCTCAAACATCGTCGTTTTCATTTTTCTTTTGTTTGCTTTCTCGTCGTCGTGATTTTTTGATTTTAGAGACGATGCGTGCATTATAAATCGCCATTTAACTGCAACATCATGGCTTTTCGACTTACAATGCATCATTCCTCATTTCCCGAGCTTCAATCTGTAAAAGAAGTGACTGAAAAAATACAAGAGAAAAAATTGGTTCTGATTTTATTCAATAAAAGGTAAATAATTCAAGTTATTGAGTTTAATAATATATTTCATTTGAATATTTGACAACAATAGATATTCCGATGCACATGATATAGAACACAAATTTAACTCATGGCGTAATATTTACGAAAAGAATTATGATCTTCATGTTTACAAATGTGTCATCACTCCTAAGAGTGAATTAAAAACCGAATACAAAATTATCAAAGGACCAACATTTATTTTCTTTCGTCATGGAGAAGAGATCGATCGATTAGAAGATATCAACAAAGTCGATCCTAATGAAAGCTCATCATCCGAGAATGCAGAAGAAAAACTTCGTTCTTGGCTTGACCATTGCTGTACTAGCAATTAGCTATAAAAACTTATCTTTGCAGTACTCAAAAAAACGTTATCTATTCATTAGCGTTTTTCTTGTTTTTTTTTATGAAGAGAGTTTTAATCTGTAAAGATTTGTTGTTGACCATGATTTCTCCGGGTGTGGGTGGGTGTGGGCTTACATGAAGAGAAGACTCATCTCCATCTCGGTCTCCACACCCACACTCATCCACACATCCACAACCACGTCTTCCCGCACACCCACACCCTACTCTAATGACACCACGTCTCATCTTATCAAAAGATAAACATCCCGCTATCTCTTAGCTCATCGAATACAGAAAAATAACGTATAAGAGCTGTCATGTAGAAAGGAGAATCGAGGGGCACAATAACTTTCGACGTTCTTTTGTATACAAAAGCTAACTTCTTTCATCCAAAGCCACAATGATGGCGTCGAACACATTGCGAAATGAGAATCGTTACTCAAAATGCGAGTAAGAGCTTTGTTTGTGGTAAGTTAGATTCGCTCAGCTAACATCGAATGCCTATGGTATCTATAAACAGTACACATGTGTTGCGAAGTCTATTCTCAAAAAGTACTTATCGAACATACGTAAGTGAAGTTGCTACCCGATTCGGGTATTTCCAACACCGATTCGCATAGGAATCTGTTCCAAGTACAATTCAACGAACTCTATTGAATGGTATGCTCAGATTTTCGGTAGCTCAAAATAAAATTTTTGAGATTTTGGTTTGAGTCAGGGAGCTTTGAAAATTTTATCTTGAGCTACCGAAAATCTGAGCATACTATTCAATAGAGTTCGTTGAATTGTACTTGGAAACAGCCATTGGAACAATTGGAACAGGTCCTTGACCGAATCGGTGGTGGAAGTACTCGAATCGAGTGATGAAATTTCACTAGCAAAAATCAGTATTTTGAGATTTGTGGGACCCCAGTTTGAGCTATGGAAAATCTGATTGCACCGTTGGATAGAGTTCGTCAAATTCTACTTGGAACAGAACCAGAACACTTGGAACAGATTCCTAGGCGAATCGTTGCTGGAAATACCCGAATCGGGTGGCAACCTCACTGACGTATCGAACATTTTCTTTTTAATCTTCCGCCAAAATGATAGACAAATCAATAGCATTACCGCATTTTTTGATGGTTTAGCAACAGGCATGAGCATTGTCGTAGTGATATCTGATGTAACAGAAGCTGATCATAACGATGATGTTGATCGGGCACGGGGATTTTGAAGTCGGAAAGTAGCCAGAATCGTTGCATCTTTTTCATCTTGTTTTTATTGCTTCCGTTTCTTCTTTGGTCTCAGCACTTCGTTTTCTTTTTTTAACATCTTTCTTTCCTGTTATCTTATTTCTCTCTTTAGTCTTTCACTTGATGTCATTGATATAACAAGAACAGATTTGATGCGATCATTTACGTTGTTCAATCGAATTAAACAGCCACTCTTGTCACACTCTACAAACTTGATCATATTGAACATTGTTTGCTTCGTATCTTGTGAAAAATCATGACATGCAGGTATCTTGTCAATAACTGACCTTTATCTCAATTGACTTGCACAATATGTTTCTTTATTTTCCTTGAGTTACGCAATAGAAACATAGATCTAAATGTTCAATTTAACAAAAAAGAAAATTTATCATATCCTTTCTGTAATTGATTCGTGCTTGTATCTATGTGTTGAAGATAACTTTTTTCAGGTAGTACATTATGCGTGAACACTACATAGGACAGAAAAATTTTCTGCCACCTCGTTGTTAGAACAGATGAGTCTCCAATCTAATCCAACACAACAAAAAGATATTCCACATGTAGAAGTATATTGTGTCATCATGGTTTACAAATAAGATAGTTGGAAACTACTAGGTGTAATATGCTTAACAATACTTTTACATGACAAAGAAAAGTATCATTATTAAATGAATAGTTTCGTTCTGTTCAGAAGGGTCGAAAACCTAATATGTTGTTGATAGGCGTAGAATTGCTTGTACTTGAAACATATACAAAAATAGCTGGTTGAAGCATTGATAACTATCAATGTTGGATGTATAGCTTTTGAACAAAGCAACATAAAAATTTCAGGTATGTTTAGAAATGTAAATATTGAGTATAGGAGAATCTAATGCACTCCTTAGAAGTGAAATTCTATCTGTTTTTTAAAGGACTTTAAATGCTTCTTTGAATTTCGCTAATTGCTCATTTGATTGTGAACTAGCTTTATTTAATATTATATAGAAAGATGTGAAATGTCAACTTCTTTCTAATATGCGTAAAGTGCAGGTTGACAGCTGTTTCCATTGGGAAGTTATTTGGAAAATAACCACTCTTCTTTTATTTTGCAATGGATAGTAGACGAGCTCTATATTTAGCTCATCGTTGCATAATTATGAGGGAACGTTGCTAAATGTCAAATCACTTTATGATTCGGGACTATATGCATCATATAGATTCTCATGAGCTATAAAGACTCTGAAAAGAGTTCGGCCTAATAGCTTATTGCTGCCAAGATTCTGTATTCTAACCGTATTTTTTTAGCAGAGTGCCTTGGATTCCTCACGAATATTAGGGAAACTGAGTTTCGAATTTCGACTTTAAATTTTGCATAGAAACATGCCTTAATGAGAATAGTTTATTGTAAAAGTTTCAGATCTCTTGATTGCTTTTATCCTAAGCGATGGCTATGATAAAAGCATGTTTTTCACGCGGTTCATATGCAGCGACAAATGCCGATGTTCTCATTCTAGAATAGACACTATCGAGAAATCCGAAACTTTCACAATAAGCTACTCTCGGACAAGTCTGTCTCTATACAAAGTTTCAAGTCGAAATTTGAAACTCAATATTCCTTGTGTTTCTGAGAGTCTCATGTCATTCTGATAAAACATACAATATCTCAGCAGCAATAAGCTATTAGTCCAAACTCTTTTGGGGAGTATTCATAGCTCATTACAATCCACATGATGCATATAGCCTCGACTCAAAAGTTATTTGACACTTAGAAATTTTTCCTCGTTAGACCTATTTCAATGCGTAGGCATGTAAATCCAAAATTTTTCTATTTTCAAAATAAATTTTTCGTGCTGTTTTATTTTATTATTGCAGAATTCCTAAAAAAAAACAAGTCATTTAAATACATCTCACTGCAAGCAAGGAAAGAAAAGATCAAATTTTCAATCATTTTTTTTTTGCAATAATAAATGCAAGCACACACAGAAATAGTTCGTTCGAAAAATTGGCAAAAGAAAAAACACAAAAAAAAAAAAGAAAAACTGTGAATGACAATCGATTAAAAATTTCTCATTCGGAAGATCTAAGATTTTCAAAAAAGAAAAAAAAGAAAAAAAAAAACAAAAACAAACCAAAATAAAAAATTTTTGTCATTTATTTCGTTCATAAAATAGCACATAAGCATTTGATGATATTATTCGAGATTTGTCACTCAATGAATAAACACTTGAATCATTAAACTCATGCCATTGGTTAGTAAATGGATGTTTACATTGCGCAATATAATGACCAGAATATGCTGTACCACTATGATTTGATATACCAAATAAATTATAAGTTGGAACTGGTCCTAAAAAAAAAATTCAAACAGATAAAAACATATTATGTTATATAATAATACCTTCATAACTTTCAGACATCACATCAGTTAAATCATCAAGTTTAAGGTTATTTATTGGAAAATCTACATGAGTACTTAATTTTGTTCGACCACGAGCTTGTGAAAAACGCTTTAAATGAAGTACAAGAATATCGGGACATTTTTGTATAGAAAATTTTTTTGTACATCGTCGTTTCTGTTTACATTTAGCACACATCTAAATTAATTATAGTTCGATAAAAAATGAAAGATTTTTCTTGTTGTTTTTTATTACCGGTTTTTCATTTCCATCTAAATCTTCTTTACTCATAAATAATTGAATACATTCTTGTACACTACTTGATGATTTATTCTAGAAAACAAAAGAAAAAGATCATTTTTTATTTTCTTTTTTTGTTTTATATTTTACTCGTGGTAATGGAATCGATAAATCCCAAAACATATCAAATGTTATTGATTGATATTGACAATGACAACATTCAAGAGTACTTTTCAATTGTCCAGCAAATATATCTAAGAAAACATTATTTAATGAAAATTCTTTTTTTTTTTTTGAAATAAATTTAAAATACTAACCAGAAATAGCACTATTGTCGTAGAGTAAACAACGTTCCCAACTTAACTTTGCACGATCTCTTTCTCTAGAAAAAGAAAACTGATGAATCAGAAACAAAAGGACAGATCTTTAATAAAAAAAAAACAAAATAACGATTCAGTATGCTCATTATTCAGGTCGAAGAAAATGGCGTCTTTACGTCGACGTTTTCCGAAAGCTTGTAAAACGATGAAAATAGTAGGAAAAACGAAGACCTCAATTTACTCATACAAACAAGAATATTGGTAAAAGGAAAATACTCACACTCTTGAAGCAGATTTCAAAATTCTTTTCGAAAGAAAGTAACGTATTAATATTGGCTTTAATTGGAAATCGCCTGGACTTTGATAGCTCTTTTAATGATAGCACATTAAGAATACTTTCAGAGGCCATAGATGGACTATTAGTAAGCTGCAACTAGCGAAAATTTCAGTAAGATCGAACTTCAAAAAATGTCCTCTTAAAAACCAATTTTCTAGAGATTCTGAAGAAAAATTTGTACTACTATCGGCGCCAGAATTCAAGGCAGTCGGTTGCTTTTTGAATAACTCTTGATAGGAACAAGATAGAGACATGCGGTTGTCACCGTTTGATAGCCAAGACCCAAGAGCATATTTTTATAAGCAAAAACTCTTCTGAGAAAAAGTCCGAAGTTTGGTTTTTCAGAGGATCTTTGAAAAACCACGCTGGCGTTTTGAAAATTGTCATAGAAGTCTATTGATTTTTTTACATATTCGGAATCAGCATGAAAAACTGTGTCGACTCATATATTTTTCTAGTCTGTTAACGAATTTGTTTTTCGTC